ACTGCACAGTTAGTCAAAATGAAACAGCTCATTAAATATCCGCCTTTGCATTTTAGGATTATCCTGTCGGGTATTATGCAGCTGTACTAAAACAAAAGGTGGCTTTGTAAGGCCTTTGCACATAGTCGCAGAAAGTTGTTGAGGTTCATTTTCATGTTGTTGATTTCAGTCGTGTTATGTGTTGAAATCTACAGGAATGCATTCCCTTCCTTGTAGTAATAATTAACTGCACACAGTCCTGAATTCTTGCACAACAGGAGCTGTTTGGTTTGGATAGAAAATTATATGAAAAATTTCATCAGTCTATCATTCCACCTAGAAGCAGACCTAAAAAGGGCAGAGTTACTCAGCTTTCATAGTTTATTAGTAGGATGTTGTTGTATTGTTACTTTAAGCTAAAGAGAGGCTGTCTTTGTTATACAGTATCTCTCATTTAACATGTTGTAAAATCTCTAGCAAGCTACCTGTGAAATTAAAGTATTTCACAATTAGAGAATTATTTAACTATAATGAACGATATGCATATAAAATAACTGTTAGTTAACAGAGTTGAATCACTAAAAAATCAAAACTAGTCAAATTCTGATATCTCTCTCCCTTGCATGGGTTATAAAGTTTCTTCATCCTGTATGTCACTGAATCATATATCCTCATAGCAGAATAGTTTTATTCCCATGCTTGTATTGAACAATTCTTCTTGTGGAAACTGTTCTTCAAAAATGATTTGTCTGCTTTGTTTACATGTATTATCTTTAATCTGTTGTGGCAGCACAATAAAAATGCCTAAAAATTATTAAACTAAGTTTACCTTATCCAAAATACTTTTTATACAGTTTTTTATCAGTTGCTGTCGCCTTTTGTTTTGATTTGTAGAAGAGATATTGGATTCCATCACTGTTACTTCAGCTTCTAAAGCCAAGACAATTTAATTCAATCAGATAAAGCTTGATCACTATAAATTAAAAAGAGAAATGGAAAGAATGACAAGATAAAAGAGTCATCTTTTTTCTTTTCAGAATCAATTAGGAAGTTAATGTTTAATTTGGAAAAATTCCACCTCACGGCAGTTCATGGAAGATGTGTATTTTACTGCAATGAGAAAACTGCAATTTTTTCTATCTACATATGGAAGCCAATAAGTGCAAAGTGAGACTTTCATAATCAGTATGTTCTGTTACACACTTGAGGATTTTCTGCCTTTAGAGCAATACATTACATATGGCAAATCTTCTGCAAAATACATTATCAGAAACTTTGATTAAATATCCTTTTAATCACAATAATTTACTTAGATTGTTTTAGGTTTACTGTTTTGAAGGCTGTAGTCTATACAGTTTGTTGTTTAGTGGCTTTAAAGGTGTCCCATACAGTTCTTCAAAGGTAATTGCGGCTTTGAGGTACAAACTGACTTCAAACCCATGTGCTGACTTTTCCCTAGGGTAATTCTGTGGCAAAATAAAAGGATACTGTATGTTATTTAAATTAACAGACTAACAGAACCAGATAAATGTTGACTGTAGCTCTCCAAAGACCCTCATATTCCCAATAAACATTATTACAGCTGTGCTTTGCAAGATCTTTATAGATGAGGGAAGTATATTTTATAAAGTATTTTACCTGCATGTGGCTGAAATCGCACAGTTTTTATTCTTTTGATGAAGTTAACTGCATTTTGTGCTTTTGTTTATTTAAAATATTTCACTTTTTTCTCAGATGAGGAAACTAACCAAGTTAGGCTGTGGTTGTGATGATAACAGGCAAAACAAATATAAAAGACAGCAGATATTTTATGCAAAGGCTACAGCATTTATTTTTAAACACAGGTGGTGTGTTTTAAGTACAAAGTGCAAATAAACACTGTTAAAAACAGAGTGGTCTCTTTGTTACCAGTAAGTGAGGCGATTTTCACAAGATCAGACAGGTTCTTTTCAACAGGTAAATTGAAGTGTGAAAAAAATGTTTTTTTCCCTTAACCTGTAGCTTGAGGACAAGTAATGCCTCCCAACATTTTACAACAGCATCCTATAGTATGTCCTTCAATCAGCTTTCAGCTTCTTTCTCCTTGTATTTTTGTCATCAACAAGGAGTATGGCAAATCAGACATGCCAATTAAAAAAACCCCATATTTAAACAATTGACAGACCTTATCTTGTTGCCTTCACTTTAGAATAGGTCTTGAGCATTCCCCTGATAGAGCTAGCTATTGTGAGCTATTTAAGTGAATTGTCAGAGAAGCTCATGATTAAGGTCTGAGATTACGCTCAGGTGAGGGGTCAAATTAAGTGTTTTCATTTGCTGTTTTTTGCTCTGTGATGGCGAGTACTTGAATTTTGCCCTTGGGGGACGTTTTTAAAATGCTTTTCTGAATATTGTACACTTTTTGGGTATTAAAAGCATCAAGGATCTAGCCATTCTTGGTTTAATTGGATTTTTTCCTCGCATCTTCAGGCAGCTGTGGTGAATTAATATTTAGGTTAAAGATGTAATATACAGTAGCTGAATATTGCATTTTCCCTTACTTTACCCCCTACATAACAGATGCAAAGCTTGTTGTAATATGTGAGCACATTATTTATTAGCATTTGGACTATTTATGGGTACTGCAATGGTATTACCAATCCTTCATCACTTATAGTTCAGGTGGGTAGCTGCGTCAGCATGCATAGGCTGCAAAGGAACAAGTAATACGTTAATTCCATGCTGAAAAAAAGAAGAAAGAGAACACAACGTTTCGGCCTTGGAGAAACTTCACTTGACACCTGAAGAAGGCTCCATGGCCGAAACGTTGTGTTCTCTTTCTTCTTTTTTTCAGCATGGAATAAACCTATTACTTGTTCCTTCATCACTTATGCACAATTTAAAAAAAGCAGTGAAACCCACTAAATTAATCTTGTTGGAATTTGTATTAGCTGCGTTCATACTGCCAGAAGTCAATAGAATGTACTACAAGGTACTTAAGTATTCCCCTTTAGATCCCGACTCTGGAAGAATTTCTCATTAACTGAGTCGAATTCTCAATGAGAGAATCTTTTTTAACTTGCAAAACTGCAGGACTATCTCTGAAATTAGGTTCAAAACGTCAGGTTGTTTATAGTACAATTTTGAATGATCTCCATTTTTTTAAAACGGATATACAGTAAGAGAAAATGTTCTGAGTCTTCTGAATAGACAATTACTATTTGCAAAGGCTGAGTTGTGTAAATCTAGTAATTAACAGTTTCTTGAATGAAGTATTTGAAAAAATGTCACTTTTTTCATTTTATTGCTGGGCATGCATTTCATGGTTTCACAACAGTGAAAGTAAAGTATGCTTTGCAGTGCAGATAATTATTGTATCTGTTAGGATATTTATAAGCTCTCACATCTTTTCCTATTATTAATTTTTAACTATTGAAAATGCTAATTGCCACTCCAACTTTGGTTTTTAGTTTAATCCTCAGGCAAAATGCATCATCAATGTTTGCCTGGTGCAAATAAATAAAGGCTTCGTGGAATATGTGTGAATGAGCTCAGGGCCTCCTAGGATTGCAGAGCCATAAGGGATGTCTTAAGGCAATGCCAGAGGCAGGTCTGAGGGCCTTTTGATAGTCTCCCACTCGAGGGTTTCATGATCGAGCTGTTCCTTGTCAAATCAGCCAAGTTCCTGGAAAATCTCCACTGCAAGATTTTGATTTTGTGAAGTTATGAGTTTGCGGGGGACCTTAAAATTGAAAAACGAAATCGGTTATCAGCTCCTCTGTGATTTTTGTAAGTATGTATTGCATCTAAAGTAGAAGTGATAGCCCTTTCAGATAGCTTAGATGTGCTCATAAATTAACTGACTTTCTGTATGCAGCTCTGCTCCTGTCTACCTGCTTTATGGTCTGATTTAATGACCTCACAAAAAGGCTTCAGAATGAAAGCATGGAAATTGGCCCCATGTTTGAAGGGCTGCAGCTCTTTTTGGGACACATTAACAAACATTCTTAATGATCATGAATTGACTTGATAATCCCTGTCCTTCAAAGTTTAAGAACTGTTCAAATATGATTAAAATACATTATTGTTCATTTGGATGTAATGTACATTATGACAAACTAACCACTTTAAAGGGCTTTATTGTGACATCTTCATATACGTTTTAAAGATAATCTAAAAGTTATTTTACTAAATTTACTAAAACCTGAGGCTTACCAATGTGAAAATGCTAAACAAATTTTAAAAAATACCCAAAATTGACATTTCAGATAAACATTGTTATACACTCAAAATGGGAAGTGGTAGTGGAAATAGCAGAGAAACAAAGATTTCTCTATCAAATTAATAGAAGGCAAAAAGTGCCATATAAAATTACCTGAAAGCAAGACAAAAGTTTACAACATAGTTTCGGAAAGAGAAGTCAGATTGTCACCTGAGATGACAACAGTTGTGAGTGTCATTCTTCTAGTACTGAAGACAGCTGGCTGTGAAGATCTTGATGGAAATACTGCTACCAAGAAACCCACGTTAAGGCCTCAGGATAAAATGAAAGCTGTTTGCAAAAAAAACTCCAAAATTGAGCATTACAGTCATGGAATGAAGTATTATACTCTAATCAGCACAAAATCAAACCTTTTCAGTTAGTATATGATACCAGATAGGAGAAGAGCTATTGGATGTTAGAATGCAGAATATCTGCAGGTAACTAAAACAACCAACCCCCAGAGCAAGCTGTTATTCTTAAAATAAACCTGTGTGCATAACATTTAAAATAAAGGATGTAGTTTGATATGAAATTAAGCATGAACAAAAAGTAACAAGATCACTAAAATGGAATGCTGCAGTGTAGAAAATACAAGATGTAATAAATTTGAAAAAGGTAGAAGAAATTGATTGTAGTTTTTGATTGATTTTCTTTTTGTTTCAACTTCTTTTTTTTTGAAAGCAAAGTGAACCACTGTTGCAAGCCAGTTACCCAGTGCCCAGTAGCTGTGTTGTTTCCTGAACAGACTCTCTCATTAGTTTATTGTGCTTTTGTGCAGTTCAACTTCGTGGGACGAATCCTGGGACCCAGAGGATTAACAGCGAAGCAGCTGGAGGCAGAGACGGGGTGCAAAATCATGGTTCGTGGAAAGGGCTCAATGAGGGACAAAAAGAAGGTAGGAGATTTTTTTTTTTAGTTCCACTAATTCAACCTGCAATTCATACGTCGGCTAATTTCCAAATAGAAATGAACATAAGGGTACTTAAAAGCATAAATGTATAATTTTGTCATGCTTTTTGTTTGGCCATTTGCTTGATGTGCAGTTAATACTAAGCAATTATTAAACTACAGCTTTTTAGTTTGGAAGTGTTTGCCGAAAGACCCTATTACATTTGTGCGTCAATTCCCTGTAATTTGTGACTGTGAATTGCTCTGTTGGGTTAGTGTTGTAAAAAAGAATGGAATGTTGCATTTTGCTAATGTCTCTTCTAATTTCAGCAAGGCCATAGGTTAGAATATCCTAATGATGTTGAAATCAAAATGATTTAACTGTGTGCAAACTCCTCGTCAACTGTATGGTGCTGTAGAGCTTGCTCAAGGACAAAGAAACTAAAGATGCATTAAATCTTGGAATGTCATGTTAATGGTCCCCAAGGCGGTTTGATGTAGAAAAAGATTAGATGTATTCAAATCAAATTAAGCAAGATTAGATTGAATATACTGAGCAAATTGATACCACTTTCTTCTTCTCCTTCTCAAGTGACAGACTAGCATCCCAGCATGATGTACTGAATGCTCAGCAGTCAACAGTCATATACTCTGTTAGATTTCCATACCCTGGTATTTTTTGTCATTTTCTGTGATTCACAGAGGAAATTACATTTTTTTAAATAGTTTAAAACTTCTGATATGCAGGAAACGAATGATTTTTCTCATCTGCTCAGCAATTTGGTCATTTTTTTAATTAGCAAAAATGTCCCATAAATCAGAACAAAATAAATGTTATCTTGATGTGAGCTAACACATTTTTCCTGCTTCTTATCTAATATTTACTAAAATGCAATGAAGACATGAGAAGGACGTTTTTTCAATGTCTGGTGTTACCAGATTCATTGTCCAGAGTAATGGTTCTGGAGCAGCATGTCTGTCTAATTTCTAGAGACTGTAAGAATTACTCCAGTTGTACATGCGCCATGTTAGCTTTCACTCCCTTTGTATTGAACTTGTCATTGACTTCTCTTCTGCTGCACTTTCATGAGGGAATAGGCAATCTTCTGTGGATCAATCCTTATAGAAGTATAGACATGCAGTTTAGACCTGGCAGTGACAGGACTTTGACTTCGTAAATGTAATTGATACTTGCTAGGATCATCAACAGCGATGCAGAGACTCAGACTAGGAAGCTAAAACCCATTCTTCTGGTTAGTGGTTTGTTCTGCATCATTTTTAACCACTCTGGTTCTCTCCATGGTTCTGTCTTGTAGTAGAGCAAAGTACAGCAACACAGTGCTGTCCTTGTGAACCCATCTCCATCACTTAAGGCTTCACTTGTAAAATACTGTATTATAATTCAAAGCATTGCATTTGCCTCCATTATTTAAATGGAAATTGATTTTTGCACGGGGTGGATGTGTGCACAGAAAGCATAATGCACCACCTTGCCATTTGCACTGCCTTTTGACTTCATGCCAGCTGCCCCAGAGAAGTAAAACTGGATCACCTTCCAGAGAGACAAATCGTGTTCTCCTGCTCAGGCAGGGCCATGGCTGGCTGCTACAGAGACACAGACTCTGCTGTCTGTCTTCAGGATGAAGGGACAAAGTGTTAAAGCATGAAAAATATTTGTATTCGTTTAAAAAAAATCCTTTTATTTAAAGTGACCATTCACAGATACCTATGCAAAAGAAAAAAAAATAAGGTTTGGCTGGTGCTCTTGAATTTCCTTGATAATAAATTCACAAGTACAGTTAATTCATAAGAGCACAGGTAGAAATTGCTTGGAAATATATGTATCAGGTTATCCTTATATCTAGAAGTTATGCTCTATATATACAGTAACCATATAGTTGTATATGGTTACATTAACTATAAAAGACTAGTGTTCTCTCCGATTGAATATTAAACAATTCACAGATCTGCTAAATGTACAGCATACTGTATGTACTGCATCTATAAAAAAAACTAAATGATTTTTAATATCAAGTTGTTTTGGTTTTCATGCAAATGTTTTTTGGCATCTGCTTTCTCTCTCATTTACAGTCTAACATAGGTCTCTGTCTCTATAAATACTATTCATTGCCTAAAGAGCCAAAAAAATTGCTTTACTCTGGAGAATAGCAATCCAGCATCCTCCAGGCTGTCAAGCAATAGGGGACTGTGATGAAAAACTTGGCAAAGCAGATGAATTAAATGTAAAGCTGAAATCCTTATTACACATTTTTGTCAGCTTAGCGATAGAAAACAAAGCCTTAGAAAGCAATTTTTGAGTCAGTTGCAGTTTTACAAAATTGCTAAAGATTGTGATAAAGGCAAGGAATTGTTTTTATATCAACTATTAAGGGTTGAGCTGTTCATTCTAGTTCTAGAATTTATTTCTAGTGCTAGAACATTTATATGTTATTTAGTAGGTAAAAAGTCAAATCTAGGCATTCTTGAAATAATTAGGTAGAAGTAATTTACAAAATTTGCATAATGAAACAGGCTCTGTGGGCTTATATGGCTTATTTTTATGATAGTTTGTGCTAAAGTTTCTCATGATCCACCTGGCTACACTGTAATCAGGTAATGGACATAATTTCAGGCATATGGAGTTAACAGTTGATTAAAATCAGGGTTGAAGCTGATTTAAACA